TCATTTTGCCCTACATATCTTTGAAACTCTAGAAATTATTGTGGTTTGTTCTAAGAATAATTTGACTATAAATTCGGAAGGTATTCTTATTTTTTACATATATTTTATGGTTTTTTTTTTATATATTCAATCACCGTATATCATTACAGCATGCAAAATGAATTTTCCCAGCATGAATACCCTACATATTACTCCAGTTAAAGATATTATCATACACATGATCATCAACAGATAATTTTCCATTTTTGTGTCCCTTAAACATTTTGCTTTTTTCTTTCCCCGTTAATTCCCTTCTTCTAGCCCTCCCCCACTTCCCACCCTCCTCCTGCACTGTTTCTAGTATCTAAGAAGGATTATTAAGAACATGAACAGAAAAGGTATTTTCACTTTTACTTTAGCAATTCCTTTTCAATTTTTAAATTTCCAAAGAATAGAATGAAGTTTCAAAGACGACCGGCAGGCCCTCAGGTTTCCTTATCTTTACTTTTCTCCCCTCCGCCCCCTGCTTTTCATATTCCCATAATCTCTTCTAAGTTTACCTGCTTTTGCCTCAGTTTGTAAAATGCTACATGGTAAGTTATAAATATATATATTTCTCTCTATACATTTCTACATTTACTGATTTTTCTTTTTGATCTTATTTACTCATTTACTCTTATTCATATTACACATAAATTACTGCTTCTCTGTATTCATCTTCATTAACTCTCGATAATTACAAGACCCATAGAAGTCAGCAAGGACCATGGTCATGATAATGAGGTCATTCCTCTGATCTCGTCTAGTTCAGCGATTTACCTACAGCGTGTACTTCTGCGAAAACACCCTGTCCATCTTACCTGAGAATTAATGATGCGCATGGTGGTTTTATTTCCAACATCTTTCTCATAACCACGTGTAGGAGCAGAGTTAAATCTCAAAACTGCATCATGAGAATCTAAGGACACATAAGTGACAAGCTTACTTTTGTTCTCTGTAGAATCACATAATCTTGGGGAAAATGTTGAAGCAATCTTTCCACACCTGAAGGTAATTAGATACTGCCAATAAAGACATCCATATGTATATTTTTCAGACTATTTTGAGTAAGATCTTGGCTGGTGGGCAAATCAACATGGAGAGCTATATAGGCATACTTTTTACATTGTTCTTCACTTTACATACCCTGCAGACAGTGAATTTTGTTGTTTTTGCAATAGGATGACTGCACTTGCCAGAGAGAGACAGTAGAGGGAAAGTGGGAAATCAGCCCCGGGGGGGGATGGACACACCACAATCCCTTCCCTTCTGTTTTCCTCTAGGGATTTTGTGCACATGTGTACATGCAACCTGGTGTGATTTTTCAGGCTGCCAGGTCCTGGGCTCGAACCACTGTCAGTCATGTGGGAATCTAGCACCTTAACCACCATGCCACCTGGAGGTCAATAATGAGAGTTTTCAAAATGGAAGATTCATTCATAGAATGCAGACCATACAGTATATGTTAAGTGGGGACATACAATGTCTCTCCTTCATAGCCTGACTTGCCTCACTCAGCAGTACATCTTCCATATTCTTCCACTTTCTGTCGAAAGCCAGGGTTCTGTTGGTTTTTATGGCTGAGTAGTATTCCATAGAGTATATGTGCCACAGTTTTTCAATCCATTCCTCCATACGGGGGCATTTGGGTTGGTTCCATGACTTAGGAGTGGGGCCTAACGAAGGATGTTTGGAGAAGGGATACAGAGGTAGAGCATTGACGGGATGGGGAGGTGTGGTGTTATCTGTTGAAGATATTTTGATCAACGGGCCTGGGGAGAAATGTGCACATATCGAAATGGTATCATTGTAAGCCATACAATATGATTGAAAGTATATACAAAAAAACAAATAATAAATAATGTAAAAAAAAAAAAAAAGGTAAGTGAAAAAAAAAAAGGGAAGGGAGACAA